TTGTTGTCAGGGTCTCCTTCATGACCGGCTGCTGCACTCCCGCCCACGCAGCATTGCATCGGGTTCCCGTGGGATCCCGAGCCCAGTGCATCGTTAGATAACAAGGGTTGAGTGATAATGTGCTTTTTGTTATTTGGGTGAAAATGACCCTCTGAGGTGCAGACTTGCAGTTTTACAGTCTGACTTACAGGAAGTAGGCTGTTAGTATAGGCCTGCCATTTGCCAACTATTTCAGTCGGCCTCCTTTTCCCCCTTCCAACATCTGCGTGATAACGTTTTCAAACAACACCAACGTCCGAGGTAGCAACCTACACGCTAATAATGACCCTAAGCGTAACCTAGTCACTAACGGTACGAACACAAACAAACTAGCAGCTGTTAGCTTTTCTTTTTCTGGGATTTTGGCCATTTTAATGCCAGTGCTCACCTCCCCACGAGCAAATGTTCCAAGGTTTAAACAAATACAAACAAGCCAGAGCGTTTTAAGAACGAAAATGGGTTCATCCATCCATCCATCCATCAATCCATCAATCCATCAATCCATCCATCCATCCATCCATCATCCATCAATCATCATCAATCATCATCCATCCATCCATCCATCCATCCATCCAGCGCTTTAAGTCTGCCAGACTAACTCAGATTCAACCCCCCTGTTGTTATTTCTTAAGGAGATAATCATCTTTACTTTATTACAGGCTAATTTTTGGGGTTATTAACAGTCCATCATTCAAGTTGTTGAGTTCTTTATAATAATTTTCCTCTACATATTATCAGCCTGATGAACTTGCCTGACCTTGCTGCTTCCTCATTTTGATGAATACGGCCCGCGGGCAACTTCCTCTTTCAAAATTACATTGTTTTGTTCCAGGTCAGTTTGCTTGAACTAAAACTAAAGCTCATGACCATATTGTTCTCTATCTTTGTGGTTAAGTGCTGAGCTGCCTCTTTGGACGCCCATTATCACAGGTTTGCTTGCGTTAGCGGCTCTTAACTGTTTTGTCTTTTAACTTCAATCTAACGTTTGTGCTTCTCTCCAGCCAGAAAGATTGAGTAATCTGCTTTGAACTGTTACTGTAAGGAGTAAAAACACACGGCATTCCTCTATGTTATCATCATTTATTTTAAAAACTAACAGATAAGAGGGCGTTGTTGTGGTCAGAACGAGAGACAAAATAGGTGATAAGTATGGAGGCGGATGAGGACGTCGGACCAGCATGTGATTCTCATCTCTGACTGTGTGAAATGCAAAGAAGCAGATGATCTCAGTGGCTGTTGATCAGAAACTGACTCCACCAATAAACCAGTAAATCAAAATGTCGAAATTGAGACACTGGCAGCGGGAATGTTGTAGCTGTTTTTGTCAGTACAGATTTGTAATAAATCAGTGTGACTTCTGTCTGTGACCTCTGAGTGTGTGTGTGTGTGTGTGTGTGTGTGTGTGTGTGTGTGTGTGGTGACTGAAGCAGTGATACTATCACAGATACAGGAAGTGGCGAGGCTATCTGGTGAAGTTGGTTTCCTGTTGTGGTTTCTCACTTCTGCTGCCGATTTCAGTTCAGCAAAAACTCACACATCTTCTCACCAGTAGCTTAATAAGATTTGTTATTTAAGTAAGAGTACAGATACAACGGTGGAAAAATACTTTACACATACTGTTACAGGTAAAAGTCCTGCGTTCAAAATAAAGTACAGATTATAATTCTCATTATTGGATTGTTAAGTAGCATTTTACCGTTAGGTGGAGCTGATAAATCAGAAGGGTTGTGAGATTATTAAAGAGGAGGGAAAGAAGTTCTGCTACACAAATTTGTATTTATTTTTTGGATCTTTGTTTTTGATGAAATACTATATAATTGAAGAGTTATTTAAATAAAACCACAGAGAAATTTGAGAGGAAATTTCTCTTTCCTAACATCTCATAGACATCTCTTGACAAGAGATCCCAACTGGTCACAAGCCAAAAACCTGGTTTAAACACGTGCTGTATCTTATTAACTTAATATATGTTTTCTATAAATCTTAATCTGAAAGGTAACTTATAACAACACCTGTGAGATAAATGTAGTGAAGTAAAAAGTACAATAATTTCCCTATAAAGTATAAGTATAAAGTAGCATAAACTTACAGTAACGCAAGTGTATCACACGTACCTCAAACAAGGAACTTTTGGGTTGATTCTGGCGCCCCCTGTGGACAGAAACGCTAGTGTTTTTACTGCCTCATTTCATTGATTTCAAGGGGAATCCGACACGGTGGCAGGCATTACGAATAACTATATAAACAGCCAATCTTCTTGCTGATGGTCTTGTTTGTTTATGTGGGTCATATAAAGACATCAGTATTAAATTAAGACTGTTTCATAACCAGTTAAAAACTAATTGTAGCACATTTAAGCAACTTTCCGCCACTTCTCCTCGCATACCGACTTCATTACTCAGTTTTTGTTTGAAAAGAATCAGCGACAAACATGTGATATGATGTGTATTTAACATTATTATAGTTAGTTTGTTGTTTATTTGTGTCCTTAATCCACTCTACAACCGGTCAGATCAGTTGGTCTGATAAAAAAACTTTTTTATTTCTCATTCATTACTCACACATGAGGTCAGCTCAGCACTCACACCCACATATTTCAGGCACAGTGACTAATGTGTTTATAAGAAGCAAGGGGCTACTGTTCTGCCCACCCTTGTCTGGGAGAGTAGGTGGGAGGGCAACATGACTAACCACACCGCTGCATCACGGCTATTTCTGTAGATGCGATCACCGCTGTATTCCTGACATTTCACATGTATCTGCCCGATATCTGGTGTCCTTTCAGAGCCACCGACAGTCGTGTGTTAATAAAGAGCATGCTGTTTACATAGATGGGGCTCTCTTCGGCTCATTTACAAACATACACCTCATTACCCCCCCCCCAAAAACACACAGTCAACACACACACACACACACACACAAACACACACACACAGAGAAAGGAAACCAGCATTAGCTGATTATGTTTTAGTGCGTCCACAGGAAGGACACAAGTTATCAGTAATGTACTGCAGACAATGGCTCATCCATCCCGTATACGTAAATAGGATGTGTGTGTGCTGGTATTGAGGTCAGAAAAAGGTGCGTCTATAGAAGGCGAAGCTGTTTTGTAAGTTCTTAGTTATCAGAGTTTTACTTTATATTTTTCTTTCGAACCAAGCAAGCAATGCGTGCCCCTGTGATCGAAAACTACAGTAGCAGTAGTTTCCGTCTGTCGCTTTACACATTTTACCGAGAAAATTACGTATGTTGCTAAGTCGACACGAGTCAAACAATAGAATCAATTCTGCGCTGCAGACCAGCTGCATTGTATGATTGGAATTTTTCTAAATGTTTCATCATTGTGTATTTCTAGATGACATCATACATATTGAAATCACATCCCAATATGGCCAGATTTGTTAAGACACTACACGAAGTACGTACCACCGATAGGAGAAGGATAACAGAAGATCCCGGTGATAGAATACGGATAGATAAGACCCGGATATGCTCACAGGATAGCGCATAGATACGATAGATAGATAGATTACGATAGTGATTCCACCATCACCATCAGGCACTACAGGGCAGAGATCGGCGTGCTGTGTGTGTGTGTGTGGGGGTGTTATTAGACACATGGACTTGGCAGTGCTGTGTGGCATTCAGCACCTGCTGGCTAAAACTGAATTAGGAGACAAAGTGACAACAGAAAACACAAAGGAAGCTCCTCTCTCACTGCTTGAGGCATTCAGGATGAAGGATTTCTTCGGTTTTTTTCGGGCTAACAAATGCAGAGTATAAAATTACATGTTCGATTATAAACAATGATTAACAGACATTCATTGTAACAAGTTTTAAAGTATATATTTGGTCTCAGATACACATTTATGGAGCCATGCTTCTATTGTATTCTATGAATAGACAATTTATTAAAAGCATATATTACTTCTACAGTGATAATCCTGAAGCTAACAACCATTTAAATGTATAAACTCTGTAACTTATATTAGTGTGATATTTATTATATAGTTAACCTAACATCAACCCAATATAATAATACTTGGATAAGTGTGTTGTGTGTTGTGTTTATAACGTTATCAGGTCAAATCTGTTTGTCAACATATTAAAATGTAATTATTATATATTATATTATATATTATATATATATTATATATTAGTTACATTAAAAAAACAACAACTTCCTGATAACAGTGTTGGCTGTTGGACAACTAGAATAAGAAATAACTGTTATACATTAACTTTATCATCTTTTTATTTTATTTTGTAGCAGTCATTCTATGCCTTATTTTTATTTAATGTTATTCTCTTTTTCTCCTACTTAAGCTTTTGTTCATTCATCTGAGTAAAACTATATAAAAGTGTGTTTTCTATGTGAATACCTTTGTATACACATCTTCTAAATGACTTCTTAAAACATATCTCTTTTTAAAAAAGCCTTTTATTTATTCTAGCACACTGCTTAATGTCTCATATCTTATTAGCATTATTGTTCCTATCATATATTAGCTATGAGTAGTTTATTCTTTAATGTGTATATGTTTAACTGTTTCTATTATTTGCCCCAGTGCGGTTAATTTAATTCATTTTGATTTTAAATAAACTGTGTTATATTATCACCTCACTTCTATATGATTTTAATTATATTAAGCCTATTAGTGCCTCCTGACATATGTTTAATCATGGTCACGTAAGGCACTTTTATTTTGAAAAGTGCCGTATAAATTTATTTACATTTATATTAATGTATATATATATTTTTTTTTTTTAACGTGCAAACAAATCAATAAATCAAAGGCACTTAAATAAAAAAATTAAATCCATTAAATAAATAACAGTTAGCGTCGACGTAATCCCACCGCGAGCGACGTCACGACTCACGTTCCGCCGGACCTCAAACGGTTAAACGGTTGAGCGCGTGCACGTGGAGCCACGGGAGCGCGCGCAGGCTCACCGGGAACGCGAAGCAGAAACAGATCAGACGGCAGGTCGGTCGGTCGGTCGGTCGGTCGGTGAGCAGAGCGCGAAGTACTGACCCGTTTCTCCTCCTTGTGGACTAACGTTACCGGGAAGTTTATTTTTTATTTTTTAATTTATTTATTTATTATTATTATTTTTTTTTTGGGAATTTTTTTACATAAATTCCAACAGCACGGAGAGAGAAGAAGGAGTCCGAAGAGACTGTCCACCATGTCGGGGAGCAGGGAGGAGGAGAGGAGGAAACTGGCCGACATCATCAACCACTGGAACGCCAACCGGCTCGACCTGTTCGAGATCAGCCGGCCCACAGAGGTAGGAGACCACCCGGCAGCGGCGGCTACGAGAGGCCGGGGACCCGCAGGCCCGCCGCTCTTCTTGCTGGTTGAATGGGAGTTTGTGGTTCGTGTTTGGGGCGGGGGGGGGGGGACACTTGGTTTGGAGATGTTGAAAGCTGTTGTGGGCAGCGTGGTTTTACTCGGTGGTTAAATCCCCCCCCCCTCTTCGTTGTACGTGCAGATGCCAGACTCCATTGAAAAATCTGGCTATTTACTACACTCGTTAATACAACACAAAAGGCCCTTTAATGTTGATTTATTTTTTGGGCTTTCGTGGCTGCTGGGTTAAAATAAAATATTTCTCTACAGATCAGCGGCATGTTTGGATAAAACGAGGTGTTTTAGAAACAAACGTAACGTTAGTTAGCTACCAGCTACCGCCCACAACTGTGTGTTTGGGAATTAACCAGCTACACAGAAGGAATAACTCAAAGTGCACAGTTTACACAGCCAGTTTAGGTTGTGTGTGTAATAAATATGCCGAATTTCAGCTAAATATCATAGCTTTTATTGAACATCTTGAGGGTTATTCTGTGATAAGTACGCGCGGTAACAGAGGCAGCACTAAATTGACAGATTTTTGAATGGAGTTTGGTGTGAAGTCTCTAATACAAACAGGAACGGCGGCACGTATCGGGGCTAGCCAGCTAGTTAGCAAGCACATTACCTGTAGAGCAAACATAAACCCCGCTCATTGTGTTTTAAATAGAAGAAAACCGACAACACTAATCATCGGCATCCACCTTTTTACCCACATTATCACAATTTAAACGATAAAGCTGTAATATGTCCACTGTTGGCTCTCTCTCTCTCTCTGTGTCTGTGTTGCAGCAGTGCCTGCAATGGCTGACAAACCCCAGTAGCTCGGTGAGGTTGTTTGATACGCAGGGCAAATAGATAAAAGCTTAAAGTATTAGCAACAAGCTGGGTGTGAATGCTGAAACACCCAGGTGGGGAGCTGAAAGCCCGGAGCCCACCACAGTGCCTCCTGTCCCCCCTGTCGCCCCTGCATCCTCCGTGCTTTCAGATGCCTGTTTGACCAGCAATAATTTGACCCTGCAACATATCGAGGAGCTGTGCTGTAATTAAATCACCAGCCTGGACTGGAGGTTGTGGTTGTTTACTGACAACAGGTAGCTACCAGAGGACAACAAGGAGGTGGAGGTTTGTAGTCCTGAAGCAGTCCGTCAGTGTCTCTAACCTAACCCACTAATTACTTTGGATTTGCAGCTATGACTGTGCTTACGTCAGCTGCAGTGTCTTCTGCTTTTAGGCGGGCGGCCCCCCTTACATCTCCTTGGATAAAGGGTGTACGGGGGGGGCCACAGGGTCCCCTCTCTTCTTCTTGAGCCGATTTAATTTACGGGGATTGGAGCTGGCCGGCCTGGAGGTTTGTGTACTCGCACACTACGACCCCCTCCAAGTTATTCTACTAGTTATTCTCTCACTGCACAAGACGAGTTTAGTCCGGTCTAACGTGGTTTAATGTAGTTTTATAGAGCCCCCCCCCCCTAAAAGCTGCACAAGCGTCCTTCACACTATCTGGGGCTTAATTAAATACACTTCCTTCGTAGTAAACTTCACAGTATGATGTGTGATTGACGCTGATGTTTTTACATTTGAATTACCGCACGCAATCAGCATCAAATGATGTTTAATTTGTGATTTTTTTTTCTCCGAGCAAACCGCCACAGAGAGCGGTGAGATCACTCGTGTGATTAGATTAGACGTGGATGGCTGATTAGTCTGGAGCAAAGGTTCTCCAACTTTTTAATCTCGCAGCCCAAACTGAACGAGTCCTGCTGGGGGACTTATGGAGGGCCTCGATAAAACATAACAGGTGTCACGTGGGGCTTTGTTTTCTGATTTATTCTCTACAGGATTCAGTTAAGGCTCGTGTGGAGAGATGCAGCGCGATAGACGGACTGGAATTGAGATGGAACAGCATTTATTTGGACAAACAAACAAACTTCTGCGCCTGTTTCTGTCACACTCCTCAAAACACGAGCAGAAAATTGTCATCGGGTCATTTTAAATGTGTGTTTAGGTCGTGGTGGTAGGTGGGGAAGGGCAGCGTTCGGCTTACAGACACGTGTTTCTTATTAGCTGCGACCACACACACGCGTTCAGCATCAGACCTTTCTCAGCCACAATCGTTTGAAAAGGATGTTCTCAGTCCCGTTTGAAGAGCAGTGCTTTCTCTTTAGGACTGTGAGTCTGCAGGAATCCTCCCCAAAACACGAGGTTTCACGTGCGTAAGACGTCGAATGCTGACCGCTGTTATCTTCTGCTTTGGAGAGCTTGTGCATAACGGAGGAGTTGCTGTCAAGACGGTCCTGAATATAACTCTAAAGCGCCGAACCGCTGGGCAGAGTTCAAGAGCGAGTCTCCGGAGGAACTGTTGGTTTTCCAAACCCAACCCTGTCCTGTGTGTGAGTTTGTTTCTTAATGAATTAAACAGTAAGGAGCACAGTGCGAGATAAACAATGCACAGCAGGTGATTCGTATCTCCTAACAATCGTCCTTTAAGCGTTCAGCCGCGGTGCGCTCGGGTTAGATGTTTCCAGTGTTGTGACAGTGTTGTAGTTAGCAGGTAGGACTCACCAGTCATGCTTTATATTTACATTATAGGGGCATTTGTGATGTGGTTGAATGGGATGAGTGCTGAATCGTGTAAAACCTGGTCACATCTCTTATCAGGGAAAGGTGTGAAGCTCCTCCAGTTGTCCTGTGGGTTGTTTTCTTCCCACAGCAGTTGTGGATTGATCCTGCGTGGAGCGAGGTCTTCTCACCGACCTCAGTGATTTCAGCTCCTCTAATGTGAATATTTTAGTCCTCTCTGGCAGTTAACTGAATATCTTTGGACTGTTGACTTTTGGGAAACTTTTGTTCCCGTTTCCACACTTCATGGAGCAAACAACTGATGTATTGATGAAGAAACAAGCATTAGTTGCAGCCCTGCCGTTCCTCAGAGGATAAATGTAAGACTGCTCATCTTTAAATATACACCGTCCTCTTTTCCTGAACTGTTTATTTATAGATTTGCATCTTCCGATGGTCGGACGGGGAGCCGGTTGCTGTTATTACGTTGGTCTGGTTTTTCTGGTTGTTGAATTGTCTTAATGCCTCTCTGACAGCGGCACATGACGTGGCTTTAAATGTGTTACTACACGTCACATGTGAGTGTAGTAACACACACCACGCGACAGTTTAACGCACCGTCCCTGCACTGGAAGGGTCAAGTGGACATTCAGCGGCCCAGTTTAATAATAAGGTGGAAAACGGTTTGGTTAAAGTACAATCGGCACGTCTTAATGTCGCTCTCAGTTAGGGATGTGACGGTGCTTCGTGACGCGGTTAAAAATCGGTACAAATGCGCGACGATTGTTTGAAATCTAGGAAACACCGAGCGCTTTTAAATCCCCATAAACACGAATACAACCGGTGAGAACAGACAAAACCAAAAGAGACTTTTTTATTTTATTTATAAGAGACAAAAACAGTGTTTAACAGTGTTTCTTTTGGTCAAGATTTTATATTGTTTTGTTATTTAAGATACTGACAGTTCACAGCAGTTTACTTGTGAGATAGTTTCTAAAGAAAGGAGATATTTTTCATGTATTTTGTTGTTTAAGATGATTTTATAAGAGGACACAAACTGTTTTTACAGAGTTTACTCTAAGATTTCTTTCCTACGAATAAAAGATCGTTTTATTGGGTCATAATTTGTCTGGAGCTCATTTTGATTAAAAAAAAAAAATACAAATAAATCGTGAGAGAATCGTATCGTGAACAAAAAACGGTGAAGTTAACTGTGGACAGCCTGAGGAACAGGGCTGCTCTGTCCCATCTGCAGACGCTGAAGTGCTCAGTGGTTTCCTCACAGTTCAAATCGAACTCTACCTGTTGGGTTTGTGACCCGATTGTTCCTTTTTCTGGCAGAAAATGAAACTAATTTAATGCTAGAAGTCCTGCAGGTTTCCAGTTTCATCAGAAGAATCAGAATTGTGTTTATTGCGTCTCCACAGATGAACAAACATGACAGCAAGCCGGGATGAGCTCGTCCCCTAAAGGCCCAGCGTCGTCGGCTGTTTGGAGCTGGTTTGGTTTGGTGGCGTCTACATTAGTGGATTCGTGTTCACATTGTGTCCCGGAGGAAAGCCGTTACTGACGCAGTCGAGCTGCATATTCCCATTTACACAGTGGAAGAGCCGGGGTCGAAACAACATAAAGGCAGAACTTGTTTTCAATCGTCTCTTTGTCATTTTAGTGTGTTTTTTAAGAAGGAAAAAATCGGGTTTGGTGTGAAAAACTCAGATTTTATTTTTAAGCCATTTACAATCATTCAAATCACAGAAAAATCACAGAAAAGTAAAGTACTTTGAAAATATAAGTAGAGAAAGATAAGAAGAGAAAGCTCCTTTCCTACGGGACGTGAACGCAGCGTGGAAGCAGACTGGTGACATCAGCGGCCACTCTCTCTCTCTCTCTCTCTCTCTGCTTTTGTCTACTCTCGTGCGTTGTTCCGGTTCGGTTGGTGGTTGCGTGCGCGGCTCTTTTGTGGTCGTTCTTTCTTCTTCTCTTCT